TGTGTGTGTATATATATATAAAAGACATTCTTACATATGTGTTTATGTACATAAATATAGGTAGGATTTTTTGGGGGAACAATTTCAGAATAGGACTTTATTAAGAACAGAAGAACACTTTAGGCCTTAATGTGCATTAGATTGATGTGATAGCAACTCAATGATGTATTAAATAATCTCTTTTTAATTTTTAATAAATTATTACATCTACCCATGGTAGTATAGATGGAATAAAGAAAAAGAGTGTACCGAAAGCCTCACTACTTGTAAGGCTTTGTAAAGGACAATCTTACAAAAGGTAGAGATGGATAAATTTGCTAAATGGATTTTTATATCCTTGATCTTTGTTTTGATGGGATAATACAATCTGCAAGAATATCTATTCAAAATTCCTTTGTAGAATTGTAGAATATTCCTTTCTCAGTACTAAGCAGTAGATCTCTAGCTGGTGAACAGAAGATGGGAAAAGTTAATCCTAGTGATGCACCTGTAGCAAATTATTTTCCTCTGTAGCACACTGTTTGAGTGGGGATTTATATTCTGGGGAAATACTCTGCTACCCTCAGCACAAACTCATCTAAGGATTTTGCATATTACTGAATTTTATAGAATGGGAAGAAGAGATGGTGTGAATTGTATTTCAAAAATAAATGATAACTTATACTTTCAAATAATGAGAACAATAAATAATTCTAGTTAAAAAAAATGAAAATATAGAACTGAGGCTTGCTTTGGTCAACAGAACACATAATGGAAAGCATCATTTGTTGATTCATGTAGAGAGAGGAAACAAGTTGAGGGGATTGTATTTTTTCAGAGAATGGGGATATTTTCATTATCTAACTCCTTTCTATAAGTATTTGAAATATACTGTATTCCCATAGTAAAAGTCCATATTTTGGAGGTCTCTTGAATAAACCATAGCAATTGTTTTGGCAATAACGGCAGGTGATGGCAGTAATAGAAGTGTTTCCTCCTGTTTGCAATTGAGAGGTGACTCTTCATAGCAGCAGAGCTTTTGGTTGCCTGCATTCTTGCCTTACTCCAAAAAAGATAAAGGCTGAACCTACACGCATTACTCCTTCATCAAGTAGACATTTACTAAGGGAAGTTAGCTGATGAACAGACACCTCAAAAGATCACTGGTTGATTTATTTTATCTCTGCAAGCTGGGCTGGTTTTTCAACATGGCATTCTACAGCACCTGAAGCATTACTAGTGGCATAGAAAGAGTGCCTGAATCACACATATTTCTCTCCTGCCAAGATAATATAAAATCTGAAGAGCAAACTGTGATGTTGACAGAATTGAAAAGAGGTAGTTCTGATGAAAGAGTGACAGAATCAAGAATCAGAGTAGATGCCTTAGTTGCAGAAGTATCTGCATATGTTACAGGCCCTTTTTCTTCTTGGCCAGGAATTAAATGAAATATATTTATTCCCTTTCAGCTGAGTAAGCTGCCCAAGAAGTAAAAAGTTTAATGTCTGTCCTCCAACTCTGACATGTATTAATCTGTGTGAAAAGATCAGTTCTTTTTTCCAACCATTCATTTTCTGTATGAAATAACTCTGTGACAATGGTATGTGTATGTGGGTTTATGCCTTTCCACAGTACCAAACAGTGGGTGGAAGATACTTGGTACTACACTGTAAGAGCAGTGTGCTAGAATCTAGAGTCACTAACCAGTTTTAGAAAAGTATTTTGGTGTGTAGGATGCACTGCTCCCCTTTACCTGAGTCCCTTGGGATTACTTTGTTTTAGCTGCCATTTACTTATTTTGGTGTTGCAGAACTGCAGCCATCCTCTTGAGCAGAAGCAGCTGGTGGTATTAAGACATATTTGCTCCAATTTGTTATGCCTTTCTTGTTTGCTCTTGGCACCACTTCATACCCATTCTGCCAACATTATTTTATAAAACTTTAAGCAGAATACGGTCAGTATTATATCTTTAATTCCAAAGCATTAGGAGTTATGTTTAAATGTTCTTTTTGTGCCAAAATACATCTTCTAAAAATGTATTGATGCATTGAAGGAAACTTGGGATGACAGTGTGAAAGTGGGGAAAGAGAAATAAAAACAATTATGAAGAATGTTACATAGAGCTGTAACAAAGAGAAACAGAACAGCTCTGGCTGAACATTAATGAAATCTGAGTACGCAAGATCTCAGAATATATCTTGCAAAATCCCAAGGGAAGTTACTGAAACTTTGGGGGTGCAATCCTTTAAAATGGCACTAGAGAAGAGACTAGGAATTGTGTAATAGAGAATAAGTGTCCGCTAAGCCTCGAGGTAACTAGACACTCTTAACAGAGTAAGGCATTAAACATGAATTTTCCAAATTCACATGACTCTGTCTTCTTGTCATTTCTAATTCTCAAAACAGTAGAGGTATATTAGTGCAAAGATTTTTGCCTCCACTGTCCTTAACTGCTGAAGAAACCTAGTAAGAGTATATCCATTCCAGGATTAATATTTCCTTCCTTGAGGACAATGTGGCTCTTCCCAAGAACACAACAACTCTCAAATTCTTTCTCTCACTCTCGAAGTGGTAGAAGGAAGGGTGACAAAGATGATCAAAGATATGGAATTGCATCTTTTTGAAAATAAACAAAGATTCTAAAACTTGAGAAAGTTAACAGAGGAGAGTGTGACAGAAAGCTGTAAGATCATGAGTAGCACAGAAAAGGTGAATAAATGATTTTATGTTTTTCTGATACAAAACTGTACGGAGAACTAATGAGATTATTGGGAAAGAGACTCAAAATGAACAAAGTAGGTAGTCGTGCATGCACTTAAACTGAAATTCCCTACAAAAGGATATTTGTATTCTGAAACTAGACCTGGATTAAAAACCTGACTGGATAAAATCATGCAAGAAAAAAAAATAATCCATCAAGAACTTTGAGACACACAGATAATCCCTCTCCCTCCAAAAATCTCTAGGACACAGATCATTTCAAGCTGGGAAAATTGACTTGCTAGCCCTCCTCTGAGCTCTGTCATTGTCATCTGCTATCAACTGTTGCCACAGAAGGGGTTCTGAGGTAGTTGGATATTCGGATTGCCTCAGGATGGCCACTATTTTGTTTTGTATGATATGCTTAATTTTGATGGTGTCAGGTTCTTACCTATGATTTGCATTGTTATTGCAACTTTATCAGTCATGTTTTCTATCTGAAGAGTGACTTCATATGCTCCTGAGTGATGAAGCTCTGCCTTTCTGATGAAGAGGATTGTGTCTGTGTTGCTGTTCCGAATTCCCACGTCTTTGGAGTCTAGATTTTGACCATCTTTCATCCAAATTATTTTGGGTCTTGGTTTACCCTGAAGAGAACAAAAGGATTATTATATTTTTAGGTTATAATAGATTTCCATTTTCCATTTTTCTGGTTTTTAGTGATCTATAAGTCTAGAAAGTTTAATTTAATATGCAGAGTTGAGATAGTAAACTCTCTAAATACTTTGAATTTCTGTTTTCTTGCAGACAAATATTTGCTCCCATCTGTGTGGTTTAGTGGCACCATGCCCTGAGGATGCCATTTAGTTATAGTTGAGGAAGAAACTGAAATTATATTGAGAACAAATCCAGCAAAAATATACTTGTGCTGGTCTGGTAATCTTTCCCAGGCACCTGTGAAGCCAGCAGTTGATCTGGCTTGCTCTGATTAATAAGTAACAGAAGTCTTTAATATCTGAAGAGTTTATTAGCTTTGCTCCTCCTCTGCCTTCTCCTCCCTTTCTTAAAACATTTGATTCCCTATCTCCAGGCATTTTTAAGATCTTTCGAAAAATTGTTGTCTTGGGATATGAAAGTTATGGTATAATTCTTTCTGCATTGCAAAATTGTTTTGGTGACTGTCAACCTAAGTAGTCAGTGTTGCTACACCCATGGAAGATGATGTTGTAGAATCAGTAAGATATCTGTGGTTTACATCACTGTCACTCAGCCATTTCCAGGAAAAATGGTAGATAATATTTAGTTCTTCAGAAGTTGTTTGAATCCCAAGAAAACAGAAAAAGGCCACGTCATATTTCTTAACTGTATTTATAGTCAATCTAGCACAAAATAACTCGGTGGGCTTTTTTCTTTAGTTTCTGCCAGATTAACATGGTGAAACAGTGCAGCACAGGGCTAGATGAATGCCAGAAGTAGTTCAAATCGGTGAGGAGGGAAAGTGAGACCATCCAAGCCAGCAGTCAGATGTGCTTAGGCTGCCCTGGAACTGAAGTCTAAGGCACTGAAATTAGGACACGTACTGCCCTCCACATCTAGTCAAACAGCAGAGAAAGCACCTCAAGAAAGCTCACTGGGTGTCTGGAACATACTCTGTAAGACTGTACCTTTTTGCTTAAGCTACAGAGGGAGATTAGGATACTCAGGCTCTTGGTTCAGGTACCTAAATGTAGGCAGAATAAAAATAAATCTTTGTGCTTTGCTGCACCATCGTTTCGGGTTTCTCTGGTATTTGCTCAGCAAGTCTATGCAGCATAATTTTATTTTTCTGTGATATTAGAAAAAAAGCTTCTTCTATTATGAGAGTAAAGCCAAGATCCATCCAAAATTACATTTAAAGGACTTCTAAACCACCTAGAAATTGCTATTCTTTAATAGATGCTCTTTTCTCTGGCATCTAAATCATCAGATGTATTATAATTGATTTTGCACCAGGGCTGATAATAAATCTTGAATGAGCAATGTTTTTTGGATCTTCCACTTTCCTCATCTGGTGACTGATTTTCTTACTGCATTCTGCCAAGGACCATAGTCACTTCAGGCCTGTAGCTCTGAAATATTAGATACAAGATTATTTTGTCCTTCACCCAGGTCTCCTTTCATAAAACCCTTACAAAAACCTATTAGAGGAAGACATGACTTCTCTTCTTCAGCTGGAAGGTATAGTAGAAATTCTTTAACAAGTAAAAGGATGTGGGTTTGTTCTTTGTTTCTTTTTCTGTATCCATGTCTGATTATTGGTGAACTGGACTTGACAAAAATCTATTTTACTTTCCACATATGTGTATATTTTAAAATATGAGGATTCTGCTTGAAAATTTTTGCTAGAGGAATGCTTTCAAAATAAAAAATAGTCTACTTAAAATGGTATAATTGTATGGAAATTTTATTTAAATTCCTAATTTGTCAAGATAAATGCTTGGCTAGGTTTTCAGATTGATTACAAGATGTAATAGTTCTTGATGGGTTGAGTAATGAGGTGAATCAAGGATCTGGCCCTAAATACCTTGGCAAAAATAGGTATAAGAAACCATAGCATTAACTTTATTATAGGAAATATCCTGACTATAAATCAAGCTTTGCTACTGCTGGCGTTCTAGTATGGTTAGTCAGATACGTTCCCTCGCAGCACCTCCTTTTCAGAGGTGCTATGAGTGCCTGTGAAAGATTACAAGTGTTTAAAGTGTTGGTTTTCATATACTCTTGTATTTATAGACTGTGAAAAGCATAAACAGATAGAAAGCATGTTCCTAATACATCTCTCAGAGGATTGGATTTCTGTAATGTGTAATAGGTAATCCGAGAGAGAACAGTGAGTGACAGAGTGAGTAAAGAGCACACCAGAGAAACTTCAGAGAGTTTACTGCCAGGGAAGAACACATTTAAATGCTTTCAGATGTTTATATTCACAGATATATGATGGGCAAGAAGACTGCTCAGTAATACTGTGAATTTTATCCACTAATAGCACATAATATCCCTTCAATCATGTGCCCATCTAGTTAACTTTGAAACAGGAATGTGTTGATTCCCTTCCTTTCAGCAGAATGCCCCAGGTGCTTAATGCACTCAACAGAAAAAGGGTTGGTAATAATATTGTACTTGTTCTTTTCGGTATATCTTTATCTAAAGATTTAAATAGGTTTGCAAATAGCGTTTAGCCCAGGACACCTTGACAAGGTGTTTAATAGAATTTCAGTGTTAAATGACACAGCAGTGACCACAGAGGTCACTGGCAGGGTTGCACAGAAACTGGAAATAGTAGAAGATGCTGACTTACACTTTAGTTAGATAATATTCTGCCTGCTTATGTTCCCTAGCTCAGGGTTCAGAGTAATTCCAGTACATATGTATTTTCTCCTATATAATTTTTGTAATTTGAAGATTGCAATCATACCTATTTAGAGTCTTTTTCTTCAACAGAAATGGTCAGTGACTTAAACTTTTTCAAAATATAAAGTGAAATGTTCTTTTTGCTATGCTTTTTTTGGAAAGATCCTCAGTTTTGCAGGTTCTAAATAGCTTTTGCAGTATTAAGAATTGTAGCTATAGCTGCAATTCAACACTATTAAAAATTTAATTCGCTCAAACACCTTTTGAATTAAAAACATCTGGTTTTGTTCTCAGGCTAAAATTTGTTGTTGATAGATAGATTGTAGCATTTTTTTGTTAGCCTTATCTTTTAGGAGAGAATTTGTCTGTCAGTCAGCTACTCAAATAAGTTTTGAATCAATTGGTTCATGTCAGCTAAACTTGACAGTGCACTAGAAATCTCTAAGATGAGCTTAGTACAGTTCTGTGAAAACTGATGACAAGGTGAAATCCCAAAACCTCAGTTAGTGTCCCCACTGAGGAAAAGTCAGGAAAGACTTGGTCTTTATCTGTTTTGTTTGGCAACAGCTGAATGATGAGGCTAGATGAGTGAAGCTCTGGAGTAGTTGCTACATGTACTTTCTCTGGCCCAGGGAACTGAGGACACGTCAGCTAGGGCTACCTAGGGGAGCAGGGCAAAGAACTGGCAAATCTCCGGGAATATTGCAATGAGGCTGCTCTAAGCAAAAGAGGTGGGTCTTTACGCTGGGATTATGGTGATATAGGGGACATAAGACACAAATCTATAAAATGCTGAACTTCATCCGTTCCTCTGCTTATGGGACAGCTTGTCAATTTTGTGCAAATTTTCTTTGACTCGGACATCAAAGCAGCAAAAATATCTGTTTATTTAATTTAATTCTTTGAAGACTTACATAACTTGGAAATATCAGATCTAAAATCTTGGATTTTGCATGTGGCTAGACCTCAGTGAAGGGGCCACTTTAGCAATTTTGGAGATAAGAAATGTGAAAGAAAAGAATAAGCATGTGATTATGTTGAAGCAGTGCAAGCATGCAATTCAAGGCAGTTACTCCATGTATTGGTTTGCAACTGTTTTCTGATTAGATATATCTTTGTGAAAAAGCAACTTTTCATGTAACGCAGTAACCACAGGACAAGAGATGTGTATATTTTATTTTGCATAGATTTTGTTCTTATATAGATTTTTTTCCCTGCTGTTACTGCCCAAACAAAAGAATGTAGGTAATGTGTGCATGTATGTTTCCCTTGCTGAAAAAATGTTTTGCATATCTCCAACACCTTTTATGTGAGAATTTCAAAACTCTTCACTAATAACAGTGATTACATTTTCATAAATGTCAACCCTGGACAGCAGAGAAATTTTAGTTTCTTCAAATTAAAAATGAGGACTGGATGAAATGATATATCTATTATTACTGAGAGTATCTCTGTCAGAGCCAGAATCTACAGTTTACAGTTTCTTTTCCTACGTCTCACTCAGAAAACGTTTTCCTTTCACACACTAATTCTTGCACTGTATTCATATTATAGCCTTGCATCTGAAAAAAATGCACGTGGTGTTTCACAAATAGTCATTAGAGTTGCTTATATAGCTGTAGAAAATGCAAAGACGGGGTAACGGGTTAAGTCAGCCTGTGGATACATTTTAGCCATCTTGTGCATGCCCCAGCAGCATGTGTAGTTACATGCATGCACTGTTGATAATCCTTGGCACCCTGGGATTTTTTTACACCTTGAGCTCATGATCAGTAATACCCAAGCTATTCTTTGTATACACACAGATTCTATGTATGGCCAATTGTGACACTCTGTACAATGTAGTTTTTGTAGTCAGCCTTTCAGAAATGAATATGCACACTTTTGGCAAAGAAGTTGCCCAGTAACATCATGTACCTTGGCTCCAGAAGAGCAGTTGGTTGAATTCTTACATTTTTGTGTGCTTCTCTTTAAGATGCATCCTACGGTCAGTAAGCGACAACAGACTTGCACTTACAGCACTTACTTTTTCTTCTTCTCCAAATGGTGGTATTATGGAAGAAACTTTGACTGTAAAAAGAACTGACTGAAAGAAGAGTAAGGGTTCCCCCCCCCCCCGCCTTTCTTTACTGTTTGAGAGGGTTTTTATAATCATCAGCCATACTTTATGTAATACTGCTTAAACAGTGAAGCAATGGGAACTTGCATAAGTGAAATTACTTTAGGTAAGTAACGATAAATAACCATGACAAAATAGCAACAAATACCTACCTGAAAAGGGATCACAATATTGATTGTCTCACCCACTTTCTTCACCAGAGTCTGTCTGAGATGGCGTGGCAACCAGATTTTGGGACGCTCTGCAGTTAAGCATTAGTACATTAAATACAAAGCTTTTGATAATTTGAAGTATTACTTATGTCACAAATAAGGCAAAACACCATAGGCTTGGATACTTGTAAGCGTAAGAAAATTGTGCAAACACTGTTTATACAGTTAGGGAGTAGTTAATTCTCTAAATACTTTCAAATGTGTTTGACTACTAGATACAAATTTGGTAGCAAATCTCAGTTATATATTTACAACTGAACAGGTTTCAGTGACAGCACGATTTGTGAAACCGTGTCACATCTGAAATGCCAGATTTGGGTGACTTCCAATGGATGTGGGCCTTCTGTGTGGACTTTGTTTCTTTGGAGAAAATTGTCAGTTCAGTAGAAAGGATGGGACAAAGGGTGTGTTGGAGTAAGAGAGTGGTTATAGACTATGACTAATCTATTGCTATATTGATACTGCAGCTCCTTGTAAATTGCCATTTGGAGATGTTTATGGACTTATTCAGAAAGCAGAGCAATCAAGAGGTTTCCTTTACCTTTCTACAGTCATTCAGTTATAGTTCTTTGAGGTGGAAGGAGTAGAGTCTCATTGTAGCAGCTTACTTGTCACTAACAAATAGAGGACTTTAGCGCATGTTTGTTCATCTAGTCCCTGCTTTGCCCTACCTCACTGGAAAGATTTCTGTTTTCTCCAGATGTTCCTTATTCTTTTCCTAGTCACTTAGAGAAAGAATTTCTTAACATGCGGTTGGAGTATCTGTCTTCATGTCCATTTGGTTTTGAGATGCATTACAACTTTGTTTCATTTACACTGACTCACTTTGCTGTCAGTGAGACTCTGGCAGACACTTCATGTGAGTCAAGGTTGAGGAATCCCCTATTAGCAGCTCTTGGTATCTTTTGGACTCCAGTCAAATGAATTATAATCTGCTGCTATAGGGTGATACACAGCGTGTTAATTAATAACCTAGGACAATCAAGTTCAGATAACTGCTTTTATTTAAATAGATCTGTTGCCATAGCCAACGCGGTCATTCTGCAGTAATATAACAGCTTTTCCAACAGAGAGCTAAATATTTTAAAATGTCTCTTAAATGCTAACAGTGCCATTACAAGACATGAAAAGTCCATATTTTGGAAGTAAGAAGTAGGATTTTGTTTTAAGAGCTCTGCTTTAGAAATAAAAGACCTGGACAGTATAGTGATGTTCTCAAAATCAGAAGATACTGGGCACCTAGTCAAAGTGAAAGAGCTGTTTGGGTGTTATTCTCAGAAGGTGGCAGAATTCTGACCAGAGGAAACAGATGAATAAGATTTATTCAGTCTAGATACTCACGCAGGATCTCTTGAACAGTAACGGGCTCTTTGATTACTGCTGCTCCGCTCTCACCAGCCAAGTTTATAGCCTTTATACGGAAATGAAGTTTGTCCCCTGTGACCAAGTCTTTAATGAGTGCAGATGTGCGCTCAGTTAGGCCAGGAAGAGCTGGAATCCATTCTGTAGCTGCAAGTACAGGGTTTGCATATTATAATAATACATTATTTTTCCAAACAGATGCCTTGTCTACAATTGAAAGTAAATTTGTGTTAGGGTAAAATGAATTTAACATGCGATATCACACTTAAAAGGGATTAAACTAAGCTGCAAAAAGAACTCTGGGTACAGATGATGTGTTTACACATGGAGTTAAGGAATATATGCACTTTGTTATTCAAAATAACTAAGGGTAAGAAAATAATCTTTGGGTACTTCCTTTGGCATTCTGTTTTATAGAGCTTAGAGCTGTGGGGCTTGTCTAAATTTAATTTTCATTAGCCAGAGGAGAGGGAGGAATTTTGGAAGTATTTTTAACAAGAAAGTGAAGCCTTAATTTAATTTTTTTCTTGGAATAAGTGTGTCTCCTGTGGATATCCAAATGAACTGGTGAGAGCCACATATGCTGAAAACAATAATAGAGCACATAACTGTTTGATTTTATTATTAACTTCTCAATTAACACCGTAGAACAGAATTCCTAGGGCTTCCTTAGTTATTCTAATGACACAGAATTTCAGCTGATAAAACCATTCTTCTGTGATGGATGTAGAGATTCTGGAAATTCCATGGTGATATCTCATTACAGATTATAAATTATTTCTGGATAATTTATGTCCTGTCAATACCCTAGTTTAGGTTATATGGCAATTGAACTTAGTGTCAGAGAAATTTCATTATTGATTTTAGATTTGTTGTTTGATTTTAATGACATAAATGTTTATGTTGTAGCATCACAGTAAATTGCGTGTCGTAGGTATGGTGCAATTATACTCTTTATTGTCACACCACAAGTATTAAATGAGATAAGATAACACTTAATTGAAAGTTTGACTAATGTTGTTACAGTCATGTTATTGTATTGGTTTTAAGGAATAAGCAATTTGTGAATGCTACAAAAGTACAGCAGCGACTATAGAATGGCACTGGTATTTTTGTAGTACTTCTCTGTATTAAAGTTTATGATGACTGTGAAGATGACATTATGGTTGATGTGACTTTCACAGTTTTACAGTCATGTCATGGTAAGTCTGGTGATGGCTCGCAAGGATGTTAGTAATAAATTACAGTTCAAATTTAATAATTCTGGATATGGTTAATTTATCGGGATATTGCAGTGAAGCTATTGCAATTGCAGTACTTTAATAATCCTCAGTACTCGTGCTTACTTACATCCATCTTTGCAGTATTCCACAATATAACCATCTAATCCCCCAGCTCCAATCCGCTCAGGAGGTCTCCACTTCAAGGCAACAGTGCTGTCAGAAACATCTTCCACTGTAAAGTGGGTTGGTTCACTTGGAGGAGCTATAAGGAAATACGTAGAAGTAAATTCTGAGAAATAGCAGTATAACTGTGAGAATTCAAAGGCTATAGGAGGAGTGGTTAACAGCTGAATTATATACCACTCTCTGTTTTAATAAAATCAATGTAGCCAAAGCTCAATTGTAAAATACAACACCTAATACTTCATTTAATAGAAGCACAGCATAAGATTCCTATAATAGGGAAGGGAGCAAGAGGTTAAGATAGTAGTTGCTATTCACATACGCTGCCTTATGACTAAAAGCCAATGAAAAAAGAAGAGTTGTAGAAGGGAGTCAAATTGTCAGCAGAAGCCTGCAGAAAAGTTTAGAAATAAAAAAGGCATACAATTTCTATGCTGTAGTTACACCTTGATTGTAACTGGACAAAATTCACGTGGTCAGAGGACCAAATTCATCAGTGGCTAAGTTTGACTTCACTCACTTTCCTCTAACAGTGGAGAAAGTGACCAAAAGTTATGGCTACATGTTTACAGAAACACTAGTTCTGATTTGCACATTTGTAATAGGGACAGGCCTGAGAAAAATATTTTGGGGCTGAAAAATTTTCACTTCAGTTACGTATAGCTATTTCATATCTTTTCAGAACAGGAGTGTCATGGCTCTTTTTAAATCTGTAGTTCAGAAAGACCACTAGCTAAATTCAGTTTTCTTAAGCATGAATGTTGTCTGCTAATTAAAAATCAACCAAGAAAAGCCCTTACTGGAGAATCCCAAATACACACAAATGCTGCTGTGAAATCATTGATTCCTAAAAGGAAACTTTTTCAATAAGATTCCAAAGATAACTTTTTCAAAATAACATTTAGAGTGCTGGAACATGAAATTTAGTATACATGGCATAAAAGCAATCATGTTAAAGAAATGTATGTTTGGCATATGCTGTGTATATGTATTATAAACTGAACATATTTTGAATATACGTAACAGATTTTACATATTAGAAATATTTCCTATACAAAGTAAGCTAAATACAGGTTTATAAATTGTGCAACTGATGGAAATTTATCTTAGTTCCCAAAGTTATTGTAAAAAAAAAAAAAAAATCACCCAGTTTCCTTTCTGCAGTTGTGTCAAAATTTTTCATATTTAAATGTCAGCAAGGATTGAACAGCACACAGGAGGCAAAGGCAGTTGGGAGCATACACAACCACACAGTACATGATCAAAACCCCAAAACTCTTCTCTGAAGCAGTAAATGTGAACTTTATCCTTAATCAAGTAAAAAACCTATCCCATGAAAACTTTGGACCTTTTTTTTCAGCAGCTCCACTTGATGGTTTTCGTTTGCCCTCTTTTGTTGCAGACCAGCCGTTCTGTGTTTGAAATCCAGAATTAAGAGACCCTTCTTGCAGTTCATCCTTTCCTTCTAACCCCTTCAAGGCATCGTCTGCTTTTATGTTATCTCCTTCAGCAGGCTCTCCCCCTTTGCTGATATTTGTAGATTTAGCAAGTCTAGTCATTTTAATCTCCAGCTATTTGTATTTTTTTTGGGTCTTCTTTCTAAAGCTCCTCACAGGCAGGCTTCCTGACGACTCCTTTAGTTTGTTTCTTGCTCAGGGACTGCAGGAGACACTGCACTGCTGTGTTGGGAAGGATTATTTATAGAAAATCATTCCTCAAATATTTTCTTAATCAGCTATCCTTTTAGCTGTGGAGAGGACCAGGATTAAGGGAGTACTGGGTGGGATACTGTGATATTTGCACCCATAAGGGAATGGGAGAAGCTGAGAAGGACAGGGAAATTTCTCTCAATTAGTTCTCCTCCTTTCCAGATCCAGCTTGACACTCACACTTCTAATTATAACAGCTACAAATTCATCAGCAATTTAATGAAACTGGAACCTCTGTGCTTCTCAGGAAGGGGGATGAGAGATGGAGAAGAAGAAGATTACAAAGGAAAACGTTGATTAAATACAGAATATAGAGATAGTTGATAGCCTCTTTCCTAACACATTCTTTTTAGGTATGAGGGCAGTTGAAGAGAAGACGTGAAAATTGTCCTGTCTTGGTTTTGTCCTAGAAATAATATAGAGTGTGGTAAAACTCACCAATTGGCATGAAGGGTTGCGAGGCAGGGCTTGGCCGGGACATGCCAATAGAATTCACAGCATAAATCCGCATCTCATAAACTACTCCTTCAATCATTCGCTTGGCTTCATAGGTTAGCTCTTTTAAAAGGTCAAAGTTCAGCCTCATCCATCGATAGCTTTTCTTCTTCTTTCTCTCTAAAATATAGCCTGGAAAGGATAGCTCTTATGATGTGAAAGAACTGCAAATTTTTATCTCACATACAGGAAAAAAGAAAATCACCTTTTTTTTTTTTTTTCCTCAGTGGCATAAAAGAGCCAAATATGATTCAGAATTATCGCATATAACTGAATTGTGTGAAGCTTTGATATTTTCCTGCAGGTTTCTTTTGCATTATGTTCCTTCTATCTGACATTCTTACCTGAACAATTACACTTCAAAGTAGAAGCTATTTAGAATTGTCTATGTCTGGTGTTAGACTTCAGGCACGTTTTGCATGCTATACACTACTATTAAGGTATTTAGATGTATGTGAAATAGAGATATTAGCAGAGCTGGTTTAAATGGTAAATTCTTTCTGGTGAGAATGCAGTCATTCACTCTTAATGGTAGACAAATGCATGAGACACAGCAGTTCAACAGAAAGCCGTTTCAGTGAAGGATAAATCGCCTTGAAATGTGGAAGATGAAACAGAGCTAAAAAATTAATTTCTTTCTTATCTTCTGCTGCAAGTCACTAATCTTGACTAACAGTGTAAATCCCAAAGCAAAAAAATAGTTGGAAGATCAGTTTGACACTCCCCTTTGGGTGTTTTTGGTTTTGCCTTTTTTTTTTTTTTTTAAAATGATTTATCAAAGAACTGATGTTAGATATGTGTCTATTGCTAAGTGGTGGAATTGCAGAGTACTTCCCAGACGGTGCAGATCCCAGCTCTGCTTCAGCCCTATAGTGGAGTGAGTCCTGGCTGCACACCATTTTTTCTTGCTCTGATTCCCTTGGGAAGGGAAGTGAACCTGTATGATTAGAGAACCAAGAGAGCTGGATACGAGCTGGATACAGAACAAACCTGTACTATAGTTTAGATGTAGTCTGTATGCCTAGAATCCAGATCTTTAGTACACGTCCCTCGCCTCCTCAACATCCACAGCCTTTCCCAGACCACCATGCTGTTTTTCAGAATGACAAAATTGGGCTGGGTTATCAGTTTAAAAGATAAACTTCTCATTTCCCAAAACTGGGAATGGAATCTGTGATTCTTGATCCTTAATATGGAGGATGGTTGTATATCACATTGGAAATGTTTGTATGAATTATTTTCCAGTGACCTGCTACAAAGGAGTTACCAACTCTTTCTTTCCATCTAGCTGTATTAAATTTCTGCCGCTTCTCTGTGTTGCAGATAGTATGCCTGGATGTGATGATGCATGTAGACTTTTTAAACAGATTTTGTTTTGAAAACTATTAATCTTTTCACTATGGAGTGAACAATCAGAAAATACGCTGAATAGTGATTTACACATACCATGTATTTGCATGTATTGTATGTCTGTTCCTACCTATAGCCTACAGAGTATGTCTGTAACAGTCATCAGCTACAATAGTGTAAGTCTACAGCAAACACACTGTAAAGTCTTATGAATTGAGCTGTGTAGGTCTGATTCAATCTGTGGCTATCAAACTTGCAGAAGTCCCTTTGGTATACCTGGGAAGTATGATTCACACTCACAGCATCTAAAGGGAGACGGGGAACAACAGGCGTGTTTGTTGACATGTTGTAGGCATAGACATCATGTATGAGCAGATTTTCCTGTCTACATTGAATTTCAAGAAAAGCATGGGAGTCTACAGAATGTTTTGGGAAATGCGTTGTGGAAGTACTTTTGAGCTGACAGGTTGTATGATCACTTCTAATGTGTAAAGTTACTCCTGGCACGCTTGTTTTCGGTAGCTTTTAAACAGGCTTAAATGCTGTAAGCAAAGAACCTGTGGTTCTTTTGACATGTTCCTGCTCTTTTTTTCTCTTCACCAGGGTCTGTGAGACTGAGAGGTTTCAGCAACTCAGTTTCTGGTTTTCTGCCATTTTAGATATGCATAGTTTCCTGTCAGAACTGAGACACTTCTTCACTGTGGCATACCAGAATTGCAATTTACACCAAAAAAAGAATAAAAAGTAGGTAAAAAGACAATACTGGTACTATCGGTGACATTTAGTAAAGCAGATTATTTCCCCAAATGCACAGAATGTATGATAGATAAAGATACTGCTTTAGTAATACAAAAAGTACACCAGACATCACAAAAGTTTTACGTAATGGTGAAGATGGGGTGTGAATTTCTTTTCTGTATCTGTTGGATATAGCTAATAAAGACTGAAGCAGACTGCCTACAATGCCATCTGTAACAATATGAAGATGGATGAGAATGCATGTCTTTTTTCCCCCACCTTTTTAACTTGCTTTTAAAGCTTTGTTTGAATGCATAGTGCTGCATCTTGGCTTTTATTTCCCCCCAGGTGTTTTATTCTGGCTCTATTAGTAGTACAGTCCTGTGCTAACTGAAGAAACCTCCTCATGTAAAGCAAAGCGTTGTTAGTGGAACATTAACAAAATCATTCCTTTGACAGTGAAAACAAAACAAAGAACTTTCCAGAATGTGTCCTGAAAACTCTACAAAACCAAATCATGGGCTTTGCATAGTCAAGGTGAGGGGAGTTTGACTGTGGTAACAGGACAGCTATTGGTATATATCTTTGTGCATAATAGTTTAAGTTGTTAACTTCTGTTAACTTCTTGCTTGCTTTCTGTCAGAACAGATGAAACCACAGAGGACTGGCCCAGTAGTATCTTGTTTATTCCTGCACGAATAACTTCTGTTGAATTAAATGAGGATAATCTATTCTTGTGGAAGTGAATGAAGTCCAGATATCTGAAAGCAAATACAAACTCCTCTTTTTCAGATACTATGCAGGATGTTAAAAGAATTTTAGGACCTTTCTAGCCCTGGCATCCCCATGGGAGTCCATATACCTTCCAGTATATATATATATTTAAAGAAACTCAAACTGCAGTGATCTTTGTTAAACAAATGGCTAGATTTGGTGTCCAGATGAATTTTTCCCCCAAATTGGCCAAGACTCTGCATAATTTTCTTTTCCTTCTGAGGATCACAGGGAGTTTTCTCTAAAAAACACCATACTCTGCAAAAGTTAAAACTGTATCAGTAATATTCTTGGCTGCTTCTGCTAATTTCCTGTACCGCATGGTAACTTTGGCCTCTAGTTTGTAGTACAGATTTTAAGGTCATTAAAATGACTGAAAAGTGTTTTGTGACCTGTGGTATGTGGCTGTATATGAAGTAGAATTATGAAGTAGTTTTCTAAAAGAAACACGTATTGCATGAGTGCCTGAGATTGCAGACAACTGGAGTTGATGACTGAGGTGGCCACAGATCTGTCTTGGTATTCCTAGGTAAGTCCAAAGGCCCGTATACTGACCTAAAATTTCAGTCTTGAATGAGAAGGTTTAGCTTTAACTATTTTTGGTATCACCTTCTTGTGCTTTGGTACTTATTCACTGAAATATTTCTCTGATTCAAACAGCACGGGTAGAGGGCACTCTCTCCCTAAAATTGAAGGACCAGAATCTAGACCAGTTTGAAGGTTTGATGTATTAGTTAGTTTCTGAAGGTCAGCCCTCCTAGAGTGAATAAACAGAGAGAATCCTTCTGTGCCATTTTAAAGGAGCAGCAAAAAATGTAGGCAAGGCTGCTGGGGACTTTGTATTTTAGCACTTCTTACCAAGTACTGGCTGCCCACCATCATATTTAGGGGGTTGCCACTGCACAGTACAGTAATCTTCTCCAATGTTGCTGATCTTGGGAGCTTCTGGAGGGTCAGGAACATCTGAAGAAAGTGTGAGAGTGAGAGTTGTTAGTGTTTCAATTTCTGTATACAAGTCGATGAAGTACTTTTCTTTAGCTTTTTTTCCCGTATGGTGTTTGTATTGATACAGCTTTGTCAAACAGTAGCAGTAGGTACAATCTAGAATGTATTATTTTAGTCTAAAAGTGAATCCTGCTCTTTGACGCTTCTTTGTTAGGTTGGTTTTCCTTTAAACACCATTGATTATTCAGCTCTCTTGTTCTTCCCAGACATAATAAACTTTTTGCAAAAATATAAGGTAACAAAGTAACTCTGTTCTGTAAGAGGCTTGCTCCAGGATTTCCTGTTGTCTCTAGAATAAACTTTATCTATCATACAATGGCTGCATGCCCCACACATTGTTATTTTGGAGACATTTGTAGTAAATATCCTGATTTAGGATTTATAGAAGATGAAAAGAGATTTTTTTGTATTCATCTAAGGAGTGAATTCTAAATTTTAATACTGTAGGTGAAAGCAATTTTCTTTTATAATTTCTAAGTTTACTTATAACCTGACCTTTTCTCATATGTGTGGCAGGGTATAAACAAGTTAAATATTGTGAAAAAATTTATAAAAATTACTGACTCAAAACCATATTCCCCCAAATCTTCTGTGACTCATAGTGGCAATCTGGTTATCTTCTATCAGATCCATTATGTCTCTTTATTCCATTAACTGTTTACTGCTTATAGAATGAAGTAATCTTTGCTTAAAAACATAAATCACAACAAAATGACATTAAGTTTTTCTTCTCTCAGACAAGCATGAGGCATATACTTCAGAACAGAATGTCATCTATAAAATTATAGGATCACCTGAACCTGAAAATATATAAAAAGGAAATACATGGATTTCTACTGAGAGTTGTTCTTACCTTTTCACACAGAAGGCAACTACCCGTGAAAAATACTTCTGCCAAATTTTGTGATTGGTAGTATTCCTGCCTTTATGATCCTTTTCAGTTTTTCTAAACCTAAAGTCAGAACTTGCCTCAGTTTTAGAGAAGGGTGAGTTTCAGTGAACTCAAGATGCTTTCATGCTCTGATTGTTTCCTTCCTTCACTTACCGATAACTTTGACTGTGATATCAGCCGTATCTTCTCCCACTGGATTCTTAACTATAACTCTGTATACTCCCTCATCCTCCTTTTCTGCTCCTTCAATGATGAAGACACAGTGGTCTTCGTGCATCTCCACACGAACTCTGCCTTCAGATTCAAACAGAAGCTGCGGGCAGTGAAAGTAACAGATAAAGTCATTGTAAGTTACGCCAGGGACAGCCTGATAAGCCTGTATGTAAGCTGGTGAAAATCTTCAGATTATTGAATATTATAAAAAATTATTGAAAAGTTATGAAGTTTTTCAAGTTCTATTTGTATATAGAAAAGAGAAAATATAGACTGACTCGCATAAATAACATTTGCGAAAACTGGTTCTGAAAGTCTGCAGGTTGTTAAGATTTGTTGCTAGTTACACATACCCAGTTGTGTTTCAAAGAAGTTACTGAGTATTTCCACAAATTCCTACTTGGGATAGCTGGTGGTATCAATGCAAAGAGTTACATGGATAACAGGTGGGTACTGTGTAAATTCAAGAAGGTTTGCAAATTCAAATTCAAACGGATGAGCAAACATTCCTGATCAACAGTATCTACATTTAGCATCAGATAACATGAATTTGAACAATTTCCCACTAAAAAAAATTACCATATTTCTTCAAACTTAATAGCATCAGTGGGAGTTCTGTCACTTGAGAATGTCGTATGGGGTAACTTTCTACTCTTCTCTGAGCTGAGGTCTAAACATAATGACCACAACTTTGCTGTACATTTATAACACACTCCTTTCTTCTTTATTTGCCTGTGCATCTTTAGAATTAGGACAGGAACGATTAGAAAGCATATGTGACTAGTACAGCAGAATCCTAATCCTGAGAAAGGTTTATTGTTGCATAATGTAAAATATTTTTGACTCTAAATAAAAGTTATTTATGACAGAGGAAGTTTATTGGAAAATGAATCCTCTTTCACTGTTTTGTACATACACAGTCCATTCTCTTGACTCATTGTAATCCTTCCCTGTGTCCTGTAAGATTTTGTCCATTTTTTTTTTCCTTCTGGTTATTATTGAAGCTTACAGGTTAGTGGGGGGGGGGGGGGGGATAAACATTCACAAATACATTAAAAAGAGTTTTCAAATAACTGCTTTGCTTCCTTATAATCTGGCCATCATGTAATGGTGATGAGAAAGAGATTTCCTCAATCAGCATCTTGCTCTAAAATTACTCACCAGATCTTTTGTCCCCATTCAAAGTGTTCGGTAATTACCATTGTGAGGCAGGATGTTGGGCGTGATGTGCTATTTGCTTCACCAGTTTTAGTATCTACTGACTTTTATTTTATTTCCTTCTGAATATGACCTTTTATCTGGAAAACACTAAGCATATTTGTGTGTTTACATAAATAATAAGGAACCTACCTTGTTATCAGTATTTAAATCACTGCTGTTTTCTGAGGGAGTCATGGAATTATCATTGCTTCGAACAAGGTCGCTTTTCTAGATAAGCAAAGAAACCACAGAAAGTCAGCTAAGTCTTTCTGAGCTCAAGAGCCCACAGATGGTGAGGGGTGGGGATGTTGTGAGACAGCCAGAAAGGAAGCTCACTTAACATTTTGCGTCTAGATTCTGAGTTCTTTCTTTGATGTTTTGTAATCGCTTTGAGGCAAATAGCAAGTGTTCTCTGTTTTCATTATACTAAATACAGTTTTACCCCAGTGGTCTGTTAAGAAGACATTTTCTTCAGACTGTAGAATTGTTGAGAAAGATTAAAAAAGAAGCTGTCATCTCCAGAACATCTCCATCCTATCAGGTGAAGGTGATGGAGATGACTTTATTTCTTTCTCTGAGGTAAGAAGGGAACAAACATGTATGGTATCCTACTGTCTGCATGTACATATGTCTACTCATATATATTCAACCCCTCTTTTGGCATAGACAAACAGGCAACAGTTAAGAAAAAGAACAGTTCAGGATGACTGTCACAAAATCAGGTACATCCCAAACAGTTGCATTGCAGCTATTTAATTTTTATTTTTTTTTCTTGAGGTTTAAAAAAAAAAATATCAAAATTAGAAGGGAGATGAAAATACTTGTAACTAAGAATTGTAAATCAAAGTAGAGATTTGAGAAAGAGAGAATACATTTCCTGTTGTGACTTCCTTGCCTCAGACTTTGTGTCAGGTTACACATTACCTTGTTTACTTTCTGCCAGATGACAGTGGGTGTTGGATCCCCCGATATGGGAACATCCAGCCTCAGTTTGTTCCCAGCCACTACGACAATAGTGTCAGGGGATTGGCCCAGGCAGTCAAGGTGGATTTTGGGAGGTTCTATGACAAAGGCAGAGAAAACAGAAAATAAGTTTTAAATATAGTTTGAGTGTTCTATATGGAGGGAAAAAAAAAGATTCCTATTCATACATTAAATTAAAATGAAAAAATACTGTTTCCTTTGCTATTGAAAACATGTTTGCTTGCATATAAATGACTGCTGTTCTTACCTTCTCTTGGTACAAAATCAATCTTGACCTCTGGGGGAAAAAAAAGAGGGGGAGGGGGTAGGATAAATAGATCAGAAAACACAATTTACATAGCATCTGCACCCACAAAGTAGTTTTAAAACTATTCATCATTAAAACCTCATAAGGCATATATATCAACAGATTAATGCAATAAACTGGAAAACAGGCTCTGTAAAACAATGTGATTACGATAACACAAAATAGCAGGGAAAAGCAATGTGCCTATATTGAGGTATCAGGAAAGATTCTGTGTACTCTTTCCTGGTAGAACCATGATTAATGGCATCATTTTATCCTTCTGGAATTCCCATTACATATTCTAAGATAACTTACCCAAAAACTGAAGCTTGGCAGAAAGGTTATAAGCAAATCCTTGAGGGATGAAGGAATAATCAGCCTCGTCACCTGGTGTTACGTCCTCAATAGTTAGCTTATGGATTCTGGAAACATGAACAAACATATTCCACTCCCTTACCTTTCCTGTCCAGGGGAAACAGGGCTATCTCAAGAGACAAGGTGCAGGCTATAGGATACTAACAGACATTACTATTTCTTCTCCCATTGCCCTAACATCAAGTAAAAAAATCACCAGGGCTGAGACTGCTCTACTTTCAGTCTTGAAGTAAATCCATGTCAGCATTTTGTCTACGAATGGGTTTGTCTTGTCAATGTAGATGCACAGTCTAGTCCGAATAGAGGAGGCAGTTTCTCTGCTTTAGTCCAGTTCTTTACACTTACAAGGGCAGTTGTAACGCTGCTGAATAGTTTCATTTGATCAGATTGTGACTACAATAAATTCTGGAAAAACATGCTAAAAATTGATGCTCCATCCCTGTATTATTGTAAATTCAAAACAGAGTACAGAAAGGGAGTACCCAGGAAGACTTTACCTAACATGTAACGCTTATGTACCTTCTAAATCTTCTTGGTCTCCATTTCCAGTAGTAGTTAGACTGCTAAGAAACTTGAGCACAGAATTGCACAACTGCATGTGTTAATATAAACACTAGTTTTTCTGAACGGTTTTATACATATGGGGTATCTTAATATGTCTAAACACTACTGCTGATTTTAAAGTTATCAACAGCATGTTTTCTGGATTGTTTGAATACCAAGAAAACATGAAATCCTAACAAAAACTGAGAATAAATTCTGCTGATATATCACTGATGCCAAAACTTACATGCGAAATGTACCAACATAGAAAGACTGCATGCATACAAAAGCAAGTCTGTGACTGTATGTTGATTGCATATGAGAAGGTTTTCAACTTTTTTCCTTTTAGCTGGAGCCAGGACAAAGCTTTGTTTTAAATTCCTACCCCCAAGATAATAGGTCCTGTGGATTGTAATGCAATGCCCAACCCTGTACCTGCTTTCTGAAACAAGACTAACCTGCCAATGTGGGAGATCTTTATCCTTTCATCTGGGACAACCTCCTCTCCATTTTTCAACCAGATTCCTTTCACATTTTCATCGGAAACTTCACACTTGAAGACTGCCTGGTCGCGTGCCTTCACTGTCAGGTCCGCAATGCTCTGATAAACTTCCAGCTTTTTCTCTGATATTGTGAGAATAATCAATACACACATCAACAAATCAGATAGCCCTAGTGAGTAAACAGTTGATGTGGATTTACTGAGTAGAAAAGGCTAGGGCTGAGCAAACTGTTTGTGGAAGGGTGAAATATGAAGGGAAATCCACAGCATGTGGGGCTTTAACAGGACTGATAGCTAAGCATCTGTTATTATCAGAGTATCTGTTACATCCGGCACACAGGTCTGAGTTCTCCTTGAGGCCTTTATTATCAAACCTTATGCCCCTTATTAAGTCTTCTTTTTTTCCCTGGCATGAGGATTGTGCCACCTCTATGCGCTATCCTGGAGAAGGTTACCTTCAGCCTGCTTTCGTTTTTCAGCTTCTCTGGTTCTGTAATGTTACCTCTGCCTACCTTGTACAATCAGTTCAGCGACTGATACCCCACCATTGGTCTTCACGGTGTAGTGTCCACTATCCTCCTTGGTTGACTCATTAATAATCAGATACTGCTTTTTTCCATCTTTCTTGAATCGATACTTGAATGTTTCTTCTCGTGTCAGCTCAATTCCATCCTTTTCCCTGCAATGCCAAATAGTGTTGAGTCATTTTTCTATGGTTGGAAGAGGAGCGTAAGAGTCAGCTCAGTGTTACTAGAGATTGGAAGACACGAGATAAATCCAATCTTTGTAGCATTTCAAGTTAGCAAAAAAGAGAACATTGACCAAATGTTAGTGGAACCAGAACTAGAATGCTTCTAGCTTGACCATTAATTTTCACCAGGTATTTGGCTCCTGGTTCAACAGAGTTCACTCACAAGGAATTACTTGATTGTTACTATTTATGTGCTATAGATAAACATGGAAGTATGTTAAATGCTGTAGAAGATACAGGGATGAAGACGCACTTGACCAGCAGGGAATTTACTGTCTTAAGAGCTGCCATTAGGTAAATGGGACTTGCTGGGAAATGATTTAGAAGTCTTAATTTTCCTGATGTGAATTATAACTGTTATAAATTAATGGTTTGTGGGCATCAGTAAAAGAAGAAAATTTTAGGATGTATTTAAATGAAGATATATTTTGGATTTTGTAGCCCTTTCCATTCAAGGTTGCCACAGTATATTTAAGACATTACTAAATTAAGCTTCACCATCTAGCCTGGGAGGAAATTTAATTATTGTAATTTCCAATCGTCATGAAGGCAAACAAGCAGAGAGGATTCATGCTGTTTAGTCAAGGTCACACAAAAATACATAAGATGTTTTAAAGATTTCCTGTTCCTAATCCTAAATAATACAAACAGGCTACAAGACAATAACTTGTAATTTCTTCAACTTACTCCTTTTGTAGCATTTTACACTTTTCATTATTATTTGGATATATATTGTGTTAATTGAATACTGCTGCAGTTTGTAAATTGAAAAGTTTCTCTTTGATACCTAATCATGTGGAAAAAGAAATAGAAAGGATGTCATGCTTTTAATAGAGTAAGAATTTTCTTTCTATCTTGTGTTATTTCCCTTATTTGGTACCAGTGACTATTCAGCTTAACAAATGAGCTTATAGGATAGCAAACTGAAATGCTACTTAGGGACTCATTGAAATACTATAGCTCTAATTTTTAAGTAGATGTATGCCAGAAAACCTTTTGCCTCTGTTAGTCTGCTGAAGTAAATCACAAGATCAAAACTTTAAGCAGAGACAGGGATCCTACAACTTGTGACTTAGATGTACCTGCTGCAACTGCATTTCAAAATACTTACAGGTTACTCCCTCCTAACTGTTCTTTACAGCACAGCTTATTGGAACTTATAGTTGGTTTAGAAAAACACTGGCCTCCCTTCGAGATCACAGAACTACAAGACTAGTAAGGGAGGAAACAGAGGATGCCTGTAACAACCACATGAAACACAGCGCTTCATGTTATGTCAGGATAATTGTTTCCTCTGAGGCCGCGTGCAAGATGCCCTCCTGAGGAGGCTGATATTGTCATTTGTGCAGGTTAATTCTGGAACAAGTGCTACATTGTAATGTGTAGACCTTCGCTGAGCTGCTGAGAATGGGCTGTAATCCATGTGTTCAACATGCTGCTGTGGCAAAACCAGGCGTATGCATGGTGGCTACTGTCCTAAAGCTGAACTTTTAAATTTATTTTTTGGTGATATATTTTGACATGTGACTCATCAAAGATATCTGAATTTTCTATTCAGCCATTGGTAAGAAAGAGATCCCTTGAAACCTTGTCTTAAATAATGAGAATAGACTATTTGCGATGACTACTGTCTCAAATCCCTGGGAAGGGAATAGTATATTTAACTTGCGTTTGTTTCGCTGACTAGCAGATTGCTGATGCTGTGTAGGAGTAGAATGTTTGCAGAGGGGTGCACTGACAAATAATGGAGTGATAAAACTGTAAACCTCAAAAAAGAACTCCTAGGTATCATTTGGTTTAAAATAATACACTGCTGCAGTGAAAAGTGAAAAACCTCATATAAGGTAATATGACAGGCCTTTCTTTGCTAACTAGAGTAATAAAGTAGAAGAATCAGTTGATATTAAAGTGTAAGTGGAGGATTTTATAGAACCATAGAAGTGTGGGTTTAAAGACCACTGTAGGTCATCTAGTCCAGCCTCATACTTGAAGCAGAACTAGTGCAATAATAGGTAGGTCAGCCATGGTTTAGTCTATCCAAGTTCTGAACATCTGCAAAATCAAATATCTATTCTCAACTTTGCCACTCAGTGCTCCTTTTCTCTGTCTGGAATTGTTTTCCCATTTTCTATTCAGATTCTAAGGATAAATTGGTTAATGTCTTCTGAGATACCACTGATGTAGGTACTATGTGATAATGGGGACACACAGATTTATTGTTACTATTACATTACTGTAGTTTGTTTTCATTTGGAGCTGTTAAGATGATACATCCAGCATTCAGAGATGGAAAAATCAGGTCCAAAATATGTATTTTACTACATGTTTTTCTTCAAGAATTATATTATTACGAAGACCATCTGAAGTTTAGAAATAACTATTCCATACTGCATAATAATAATGTGAGACCTTTCCGGGTGATCAAGAGAACATTCTTTCCTGATTAGTATGAAGAGATCCACATAATTAATTCTCCAAGCCCTAGTCTGAAGGCCATGCCTAAGAGGCTGTAAGCCTTATTTTTGTCTTGTGCAAGTCACATAATTGCTTTTGTTCATGTGCTTGTGACTTCATATCCCGGGTTTAAGGGGTTGAAGAGTGATAACAGGTGCCCTGAGTTAGTGCCTGTTACTTGGCTTAAACTGTTGCGCATTTCCCTAATGAGCCATAAAATGGGAACTCTTTCTCCACACTGTTTCATGTTTTCCACAGACACTTCTCTCCATTGTCCAAAATGCTCCCTTTGTTGCCAAAGAGCATTGACTGAGTCTCGCATAATAAAACCAGCAAAATACAGTGTAAATGTCTAACTGCTCCGTTTTCTGTTGCTATGATTTGAAGAGTTTCACTGACCACTTGCTGCATTTCAGGCTGAGACAGCTGCCGGTTTGCCCTTGTCACACCAAATGCCCGTCCCACAGATACCAGCTCTGCGAGATGTATGGGAGTTGTTCAAAGGCATAGGATCAAAGGGTGGCAGCTGCACTGTGCTCTGAGAGGGACAGATCTGGTTGTCCCCATCTCTTGTGACCAGGCATCTGTAAGCAGTTCCTGAACAATAGCATATATGTGCCTGTGCACGTGGCTTTAATAGTGTACTGCATACGCTGTACTAGCTCTTGGGCTCTATTTAAATTCTCAGCTCCTTCCTTTGGGAAAGCAGATGAATGGTTGGCACTTTCCAGGAATGTAATGGGCATTGTGGGAACAGTTGATAACCATGTGCCTGAAGCTGTTAACAAGCACAAGAGAATTTCATCTGGTAGAGAAATGAAGTGAGAATAGTGTGTGTAAGACCTGGTATGTGAACACTGCCTGCGGTGCCTGCCCAGGCAGCGTGAACCTTCCAACTTCCGCTCAGCTGGAATGCCCAACGAAACAGACTCTATGGTCTAAATGTTTGTCATCTTAATCCTGCTCACTGCATATGCATAATGACTGGCTTTGAAGGATCACCACAACAAATATGTTAAAATAAGTCAATGACCTTCCCTCTCTGTCTCAAGAGACACTAACTTTTTACCTAAGAAGACATACTTTAAAAAAAACCAAAGCAAACAAAAAACCCAAGCAAACAAAAAGCCCCAAAACCTCATTGCAGTTGAGAAGACCAGAAGATTCCATAGAGTACAGCAAACTCATCACTATACAGATCTGATTAGTCTGGGCAATAGTTAGACGTTACTGTCAACTGTTTAGAAAACTTTAAAGCTAACAGCTTGGTACAGTCAGTAGCATCTTGTAAACACTGAACAAGGAATTCTAGAGACACTATAAAACATCTATACTTAATTTGTTTTCTGGCATGTTCTGGCCTCAGTTCCTCCTCAACGTTTGACATATAGGAGGAAGATCAATCTTTTCCTGAAAACAATTACATAGGATGCCACCTTTTTCCTTTATATTCCACAACTCTTGTCCACAAACACTGGTCCTAGAATGTCCCATAGAGGGATATGTTGCTTGGTTCTTTTTTTCTCCTCTTCTATTCCCTTACCATTTCACAGTAGCTCCTTCCTCAGACACTTCACACTCAAACTCCACTCTCTCTCCAACCATCACCATCTGGTCCTCTAGTGGGTGAGTGATGAGGATTGGAGGTTCTGGAAGTGAAGAGACTTTTATTAAAACAATATTCTGAAAGACTGAAGACCAGAGGTAGATTTCACCACTCTGCACTCCACAGGAAGAACCCCTGGCCAAATACATGGTGATGCTCTCTGTGTTGGAACTTAAAATTTACTATGCCAGATCCCATTATCAGTATTATCAAATTACCTTTCGGTTTTTGCTTCATGAGACACAATACAAAGACAAGGTTAATCGGTTTTCATATATATTCTGAAATTCTGAACTGTAGGCATTAGTTTTCTGTACTTCTTGATCTGCTTGTAGAGCTTGAGGCACATGTTTATCTTGAGTGGAATCAAATTTTTTAAAGCAAGTTTCTAGCCCTATTGTTGGGAAGATGTAAATGACTTTCCAAATGAAAATTAATGGTAATTATCAATTTGCTGTTTTCCTGTGCTTTCTTAGTTGCAGCTATAGGGAAAGTTTTCCTTCATTTAACTGGAAGAAAAATATCTTCTTCAATAGATGTCAGAATTTGTTCATAAGTTTGAGAATTTTCTTTCCTGCAAGATCAGTTAATCTGAGAGTAGACAAGGTGATGTTAAATTCAATGCTAAATGTTAGGGGAGATCTCTTTCCTTTTGCTGCCATTGCTCACCTTTTACAAATAATTCTGTGAAGCTCTTCTCCTCCCCTACCACACATTCATAGGCTGCATCATCGGCCAGAGAGCAATGGTTTATGGTCAGTATTCTCTTATTCCCAACAGCCTCAAAAATATATCTGAAAAGAGAATCTAAATGTAATTATCAGACAGTAACTCCTTTGGACCCAGTCATTGTCTTCCCCTGACTGGTAGAGAAAAAGATTCCTTCTTTTTTCTGACATCAGTGGCTAGGTTTGTTAAGACTCAAGCCCTTTATCCCTGTCCTGGTAGAACAGGGGACAGCAGAAGTGTTTGACAAACTAGCACAGGAAATAATGTAGAAATCTTCATACAACTGAGACATACAAACTCCTGTGAATGGTGCTGGATGCTTTTCTAACATCTAACCATACAACAAACCTGACTACCGTTAAAAATGCTTTGTCACGGCTTCAGCACAGAATTACTGGAAATTGGTTTTACAAACAAGCTACACTGAAGTATATCCTGTATTACGAGAGAGTAATTTTGAACCCTGGATATACATATAAAGATCAGAATATAATCTGAGGACTTACTTGCTAAGTAAGTAGATGTGAGCATCCAGTTCCACATGTAGATGTATAGAGCAGAGGGAAGAAAAAAGAAAAAGTCATGAGAACAACAAACTGGTCCTGAACCAAAGCACTATGTAGATTCTCAGCTCCAATTTCTCCCTATTTTATTCCTTTCTTTCTAAGAAAAGCTAGTTTCCCCACTTTGTCCAAGCTGTAGCTCATTCCTTTTTGGATTTCCCATGTTTCTAGTTTACCTGCCGCTCACTTGGATTTCCTGACCATTCTTCCGCCATTTCACATCAGCATCTGGATTGGCAACTTCAACTGTTAATTTAATCTTTTGCCCTTTGTCCACTTGGTAAGCTGGATCCAGTTTCTTGAGGAATGCTATGATGAAGAATGATTTAAGAAAAAAAATCTTAATTTTTATACTTTTTTTTTTTTTTTACTTTCTCTGTTGGGAAAGTAAATCTTTATTCCCTTCCCTGTTGTTTACCATCATCTTAAACCTTCCCCACTTTCTGCATCTCTGTTTGCATTTTTACCATTTCTGTTCTTCATCCTGTTCTGTTTACTGTTTTTCCTTAAGATAGGATGAACAGCATGAGATATAAACTAAAATAAGCAAAGTAGAATATTCTAAATCAGATGTGAATATGTACTTCAACACATCCTAAACAGAGTTGCCCATGTAGGAAAACGGCACTGATCTTCTCAGTACTGATGAATGGCAGTTTGCTCTTTCTATTTCAGACTTTTAAAACAAATTAGTTAAAATTAGGTAATTAATACTTCACCTGACTAGAAAAGGCTGAAGAATTACCAATGTATCATCCCAATGTAAATTAGGTTCTTTAAATGTGTCACTGATGCCTGACATACTCACCAGTTTTGGGGGTGAGGGGTGGTGTTGTTTTATGTTTAGGGAAACATAAGAGGCAGAGCAGAAGAAACTAGTAACATGAGCAGGTTCAGAATATCCAGAATTTCAGAGCAAGGTAGCTCAGAGCTTTGGGCATAGCTTTAATCTTTGGTAATCAGCATTTTGCTTGTAAAGACTGTGTAACAACTGGAATAGGAAACTCCTATTTCTCATGCTCGTGTATCTGGCTGCTGTCCAGCTCATGTTAATATTTGTAGCACTCCCAAAGAAGAAGGTAGGAACACATATATTTGGAATAAATACAGCTCGCCAACCTGTACTTTTTTTCTCTTCCTTCTTTATGCGTTTGAGGCGTTTCAGCATCCCACGCAAATCTGTGATACCATACTGAAAAGCAATTTTCTCGTATTCAGAAGGAGGAGCTTTCCTCAGAATTTCCCAGACATCAACATCAGATTGTGGTTCAGATTTTGCTTCAGCTCTGCAGAAAGAGAGTATCTGAATGCCACTATTGAGAGGATTTAAAAACAGCCATAGGCTTGGCAAGCTATGTATTGGCTTGATGAAACCACTCCTTAATAAAAAAAATTAGCAGTCTAACTTTTTACTATATTATTACCTAAAATAATTAAATAAGACTGGTTACTGGTTTTACTTATATAAATATATAGTGATTAAAATCCAATTGCTCTCCTGAAGAATTTACTTTCTAATAGCCAAAGCAAATAAATATTAACTTCCCTTCCACGATGAGTAATGGAAACACAAGGAGACTTATTTTCCTGTCGTAGTCATACACAAAACATGTGGCAAAGCAAGGAACTGAACTGATACCCAGAGAACGCCTTAGAAACAAGGCAGTTGCTTTATGTTAATAAACAACAAGTACTTTTCTACTCAGGACATTTTTTTCTCTTCACTAAAATGAATCACAGATTATTAAAACATTTATCGTCTATTGTAAAGACAATTGTTGGCTATAGTAAGCTATAAAACAAAGACACAAAGACTGGTGAGTAGTGGCAAACAAGACAATATTTACAATGGACTACTTATTTTATAGTTTAACTGAAGAACTAGTCATTATGGAAGAATTAATGTTTGGTTTAGCAAAACCAAGTGAAAATTTGATTGTCTGGCTTTGGGAAAGGCATTCTTTTTCTGTCATATTTTTTATTTCAAAGATCATAAATAGAAAAAGAAATTGGTGTAACCTTACCGATTTACCGAGCGCAAGAAGCTGCTGTACTCCAGAATGATGCAGAGAACCGTTTGGAAAAACATGCAGCATCCCGATGGGCAAGAAAGAGGGCATCAAGAGGGCATCATGTGTTAATACAAAAGAGCCATGAATGTCATCTTCACCTTTAGCAAATCATGCCTGTGCTTCAGCAGCAGGAGATGAAGGAGCTCATGCAAAATTTCTGAAATAGGCTTAAGAAAAATGCTGTTCCCTCTTGAAACTGGACTCACTCCCACACTTTGTACAGTTCCACTCTGCAATTTATATTATAAGTGTAAGCACTTCTGCTTATTCCTAATTATGGCTGATGGCCTTACAGGGAAACAGAGAACTCTACTTCGCCCTGTCGTCATGGAGTTGTTGCCTGTCATAATTTGCATTTTGGTAAACAGAGAAAGGATGAAAGAAGTAACATTTTCTTAAAAATTTCTTCAGGAAAAGGAACTTCCTGTGGCTGTTGTTTCTGATATCATCAGGACCAAGCAGATTCCAGTGCAGCAGAACACACCCTTACAATGAAGCCGTGTTCAGTGGTAAACCCCAACAAGAAGACAAGTTATACATCAGGTAGTGCAGAGAAAAGTGGAAGATTATTGGGCATATTTCCATTTTTTTCAGGAAAAGAACAGTCCCTTTAGTCTGTGAGAAATTTTATTACTTAAAAAAGCATGACTGTGGTCAGTCTAGACAGCAGGTATAACCAAACACTTCTGGTATTCCTTTTATTGCCCAAAAAGGGCTTGCTTGTAACAAAAGCGCTATGTTGATTAAAGTACTGCAGTCCAGGTTTGGGCTTTCCAGCACCCTTGTAGTTCTTGAACAGAAAGGAAGCAAGAGAAGAGGATTTCAGCTCAGTGAGTTTGAGCTGAAATATGGCATGCCATATCTTATATCTGTGGAGTGGTTTAGCACTTACTAAGCCCTCACTAGCACTCATTGAATTGATAGGTGTATCTGAAGTTTGGATACCTTACGATAAGTGCAGCCTACTGGTCATTTGCTTTGTCATAACAGTGCATCGACATCACCTACAAATTTAATCAGGATTCCTCTTCTCTATATATCTATCATTTTGTTTGGGGCAGCTACAAATGGTTTGTAGTTTTGCCTAGCAGAAGGCAGGATAATAGAACTGATTTGCCAAATAGACCAAGATTTTTTTTTTTCTTTTTGTTTAACATAATCATTTCTTGGGCTAGTTGCCCTGATCATATCAAGAAGCAACTTTAAAATATTTCTAAATATATGTACATTGGAATAGATATCTAAGTCCATAAAACTAGGAATATATAATATTTCTAATACATGCTGAGTTCTTTGTACTAGTACAATTAACGTTCTGCAGTGCAAACTGTATCTCAAAAGGAAATATAAAATCATAGGAAATAAGAAACACTTAAGGGATTCAAATGTTATTATTTTCCCTCAGGCATTATAGAAATACTGGTGGTCTCTCTGTCTGTCTGCCTACTTATATGCTCATCTGTATACACTCCTTTACCTGAAAATTTGCAGGTGGGATTAGTCATGGAGTTTTAAAAAATACTTTGTGTGAGTTTTTTTTAAATAGATCGTGAGAAAAATCTTCCAATTGGGAAGCAATTCCACAGTCTAGTATATCTCACTATTGAGAAGACTTCCTTAATTTTTCTTTAGCTTTTCCATTATTCAGTGTCATCCCATTGTTATATCTGGCAATACTGTTTTGGGGTATGCAAGCTGAAATGCAAGAAACTAAATCATAAGCAAGAGTATGATTTCTTCCTTGGAAATATTAATATTTTCTAATTACAGGGAAAGGCTTGTAAGTTGCATGTAAAATGGTACTAAAAGCTAGAAGTTGTAATTTGTATAGTGTTTAATGGAGTTCTGAAAAAGAAAAGAAAAAATGTCTCTGCCTCTGAGCAAAGGTTTCCCCATCCTAGTACTCTTTTCCACCATTTTGTGTTTGTCAAAACATTCTCTTTGATCCCATAAAGACACGGAGTTTGCACAGTTAGGCTGTACTCTTCCACCACCAACAGGAACTAAGGTGTGTTTGAAAAGTAATATTGCACTTGGACTCCTGAAGTTTCTCCCACCCTTACGTTACTCTCCCTGATGTTGAGGATCCTTATTCAGAGTAATCACCTCATAGGTTAACTATGCACTTGGGGGCATTAAGATGCAGCTTAGTGAACCTGCTGTAAATGGAATATGCAGCTGATATGTTTTAAACATATGTGGAGGGGTTAAAAATAGTTTTGTACATCCCAGAGATGGTTCCTTCCTATCCCATTACTGTCAACTGATTGGACCCTGTCAGCTGTCACCTCCTTCAAGGTCTCTGCTCACTATCCCATTTAATAGCTCTGTGACAGCTGTTCCCTTCCTCTTCCCAATGACCTCTCCTTGGCCCATGACATCTGTATGTCAACACCAGTTAATTAAATTACAGCAATAGGAGATACAGTATTAAACGAAGTGCTCTCTATTATAGTGGGAATGTTCATTACCTCTGGATTGAGCACACTTGTAAATTAGGTGGGACAAAGCAGAAGTGGTAAAAGAATAATCTTCAATTCTATTTGAGTCTGCATAGCTCTTCAGAGTTCCTCACCATAGGTCCCTTTTTCTGTTCTATTTTAATGAAGAATACTTTCATTCCATGATGAGTTTTTATGCCTATCAGTTCTCATTCATATAGGTGTGGCCTTCAATCTGTGGCATGCAAAGCCTGAAGGATCCACAAATTACTTCTAAAGTGGCTGTGAAAAATGACGAAGAGCAGTGAATTTACTAATGCTTAAGCAGTATGCTTAAATTCACTAAACAGAGATTTGTAAGCCAAGAAAGGTCAAAACCAGTGATAAAATGCAGTGAAATTTATACGCTTCTTTTAATGAATTATATTTCTAGTCCAATAAATAATGAATAATTAAATCCACAAATGGAACATTTCTAGGAATACTGGAGATTTTTGCTACTTTTTAGAATTCTATCACTGCTCAAAACTAATTATGGAAGCAGAAGGGAAAGGCGTTAGGAGAGGGACTCATAGTAGTTAGCACTTCATTCCAGCTGGAGTCACTGTATGAAATTATGCAAATATTTTCATGTTGGTCTCCATTTATTTTAAAACTTTAAAAAGAGATCAACAATTCTTTTTTGCCTTATATTTTCTGTAGAAATTAGAATGTGTGTACAAATACTCTATTTCAGCTCTCAAACCTGCACAGTTTTGATTACTGCCGTTTTTCAGAAAGCATATTTTCCCTACTTTAGAATTACAAAAAAATTCTAACGCACTCTTTGTTTTGGACTTCTCTGGGGTTCATGATGAGACAAGAAACTTTGATGTCAATGTCAGCTGTAGAAAGTTTGATAGGTGTACTTTCTGTCTCACCTAGCTGGCCCCCTTGAGAGTTCTGGTTGTAGTGTTACTGCCAAGCCAGAATTCACTTCTAGTTGCATACATTGCATATTGCATAATATGGGGCTTTGTATACCTATGTGACCCTGTTTGCCTGACTGAAATTTGGGTCAGTTAACCTGAGTGAAACATGAGCCTGTTGTGGCTTTATTGCTTTCCGTAACCAAGCTACTTCAGATGTCTACCTGATCCCATACTTTTTGTGAAGATAAAAAACTTTTTATAAATAGTGATACCAAAGCCTGAGCAGCGACTGAACACAAATTCACGACAACATTCACCCAAGCAGCTGATTGTGAAAACTTAAACTGAATAAATTTAGATCTGCAAAACATGAGTCTAGACATAAGTGCTGATACTGACTTCAGGAGCTGGAAAAAGAGTGAGCGGCCAGGGGCAGAGAACAGAAAGAAGCATGTCTGGAGTAATGGGATGATAATGAGCAACGGAAACTTTACTTGGAATAAAGATAAATGTTTTGTAACAGAGAAGCCTGTACACTTATTACATAAGTGACTTCAGTAATATATTCACTTAATATGTTTAAGGATGGATGGAACAAAACTTCAGCGCATATTTGACAGGCACTAGCAGGCATGTTATGCAAATGATTTTTCTGATTCTAATTTCTGTGACAATAGGAAATTAAACGAGCAGGCTATTGAGAAAATCTGGAAATTCAAGGACAATTTAAAACTGCTTATAAAAGAAAGTGATGGTGAAAACCAAAGGACATGCAGAGAAATACATTGATTTCTATTGAATGGTCCACCCTTAACTTCTAATTGCTTAAAAACATTTCTGTCTCGGAAGTTGGCGGCTCATAATTTTCTTTCATACTACCACATTTTTGTGACTCTCTACATGTAAGAAAGATAAAGATGCATGCATTATTTCAAACCAAATGGTTCTTATATTCAGTCTGACCCATGCATGTATAATGAAATGAAATAGAAATCTTACTCTCTGTTGGCAACAGTGGAATCCAAAATGTCCAGATTAAGATGGTGGTAAAGAGAAAAACATAAGTAGACAGGTTATGAAAATGGATGTGGCAAGGAAGGATGAGAATAGGAGAGGAAATTCCACCAAAAAACATGAAAGGAAAAGCAAGAAATAAGAATTTGAATCAGCAGAGTAAAAAATATTTATGTAATATTTACACAACATAATTTCTTTCATTATAAATAGCTATATAATATATAGTTGCATGGTGTAATAGTTACATTTAGATATCTAATGAAAAGGCTTGTCCTCCCAGCTCTCTGATGCCAAGTATTGTGAAAACTTAGGACAGAAAATTCCTATTAAGGCAGCATTATATTGTAAATTGTAGTTGTGTTTTGTTTTTTGTTTTTTTTTAATGAAAACTGCTGGTGGAAGCATATAATTACCCTAGTCCCAGCCTTTTCTGTCTTGGGAAAGATCAAATTTTTTTCTTTTTTATTTTTTCTCCATTATAAACCTAGCAGAAATGCAGCAAATACTGAGTATTTGGGGAATTTCTGATAATTATCTGCCATAGTTTTTCTACTTAGAACTGCTTTAGAAAAACTACAAGGATTCCGAATTTATGAAACTATCAGTTATTCTAGTTTTAGTGTTTTCAGAATTGTTCAACAGAAGCTGGCTACTTTATTTCTCTAAGTCTATGGGTTTTTACTCACCTCTTTTTCAGTAGGGCACTAAAATTAAACTCTCCGCCTTCTTCATGTCCTTCAGTACTGTATAGTAACAGAAAACTGTAATTAGTTTCAGCAGGAA